TTTGCATTTGGTTGTTGTTAACCTTCTTTCTGTTTCTAATTTGTTTCAGTGAGGAAAATGTTCAGCCTCTGGATCATAAGCTTGAGGAACACAAGGAGGTTGAAAGATCTCATGCCAAAAATGTACCAAGGAAAAGGAGCAGGCCAACCAGTAGTTCAAGAACTGCAAGGGCTGCTCCTAGACCAGTCCGGCGAATAAGGCCTAGAAGAGGAAACCAGAAAGCAAAAATAGGTGATGATGTTGAATCTGAAGAAAGTGGCCCCAGTGAATGTCAGGATGATCAAAATTTGGACACAGATGATACCTCTAAGGTTGAAGAAGGTATTACCGACAAAAAGAAAGGACTCCCTCCACCTGCTTCTAAACCAGCCCGGAGAACAAGGGCTACAAGAGGAAATCAGCATACAAAGATAGATGACAGCGGATCCGAAGAAAGTGGGCCTTGTGAAACAGGGCAAGATGATCAGAAATTGGACACAGATTACATCTCTAAGATGGAAGTAGATAACAGCGATAAAGACTGTGGACCACCACCAGGTGCTCAGCTTTTCACATTGGGGGAGCAAGAGGTCAAAGGTGTCAAATTGAACACCGTGGACGAGAAACTAGACAGTCCTTTCCAAAGAACAACCGCTGCTGAAGCCATGAGTAGTGCTTCAGGTGAGAAGATAGAACAAATGGTTGATCCATTGCACGCCATGCTTCTGGATATGCTACCACTCCTGGGCAAGAAAGGGACAGAAGATGCAAGTAGGGCACCCTTGGCGAAAGTTGAGAAGGATCCACCTGTGGTAGGAAGTTCCACATCCAATTCTGAGATTCTGGCGCCAGATGATCAGAAGTTGTACACAGATTACATCTCTAAGATGGAAGTAGATAACAGCGATAAAGACTGTGGACCACCACCAGGTGCTCAGCTTTTCACATTGGGGGAGCAAGAGGTCAAAGGTGTCAAATTGAACACCGTGGAGGAGAAACTAGACAGTCCTTTCCAAAGAACAACCGCTGCTGAAGCCATGAGTAGTGCTCCAGGTGAGAAGATAGAACAAATGGTTGATCCATTGCACGCCATGCTTCTGGATATGCTACCACTCCTGGGCAAGAAAGGGACAGAAGATGCAAGTAGGGCACCCTTGGTGAAAGTTGAGAAGGATCCACCTGCGGTAGGAAGTTCCACATCCAATTCTGAGATTCTGGCGCCAGATGCTGGGACATCTGGGGTTCCAGCCCCAGACCCGAATGCAGCTCCTCCCCCAAAGAAGAAAAAAGTGAGTTACAAAGATGTCGCTAGTGAACTTCTGAAAGATTGGTGAGAGAGCTTGTTCAGTGGGGATGACCTGCAGTCTATATGTTTTACACTTTTATTTACTCCTGTAGTCTCTATCTTGTAAATATATGACAACGCCATGTAGGTAACCATGTTTGTAGCGTCATCTTGGCTGTTTGTCGTGCTCTCAGAAGTTCACACTTGCTTTGCCTGTTGAGAATTTGACCGTTAAGCCTAGCAACACTGATGTGGAGTTGGACCAATATGCATGCGGATTGCGGAAAGGATTTTACACGTACTTTGCAGAGGCGGGAAATATTGCATTGAAGTGGAAGTGGAAGCATGTGGTCTGCTCTGCAATTGGTTTTGGATCATGCGGTCTGTTTGCTTGTTGATTTTAGGTAGGGCTTATCAGCTAGTCAACAGTGTTTTCTTTTCACAACAAACTAGCACCAGCCGGACTTATCAATCCAGAAACTAACCAACAAACAGGCTAAATGTTGTTGCTTTTTGCCGGGTGCGTGCACTGCGGCTCCTCCCGTACGTGCGATGCGGGGTAACGGTACCGATACGTGTGCGGTTGGCGCGGTGCCGTGCCGGACGGAGTCGGTTCACCACCAAACCGGCGTGTGGTCTGCCACGGATGATACGATGGTGCTGGTTAGGGAGAAGGCGAGAAGCAGAGCAGGTCAGGTGGAAGGGCGGAGGAACATGGCGTGTTGAAATGGTCTTTTGGTGTATTCCCTCGGCCCTGTAATATAGTGTAGTCTAGCATTCAAAATTTATTCTTTAATATAAGACAGTCTAGAGGACAAAAACTAATTTTACATTAAACACTTTTCATTTATCAATCAATCATCATTAATCATGTTGACTCGCGTCTGGTTAGGAAATAAAATGAGGATACATGCGTCTTTTACATTCTAACTAAATTTGTCTTAAAATTTCTAGAATGCACTGTGTTACGGACCGCGGAGTAAAAGACTACCTATAAACGAAAAGGAGTGAAAAAAAAAAGTTGGAGATCTGCCACTGAATCACTGTTCTTTCAAGCTTGTCGGACCATTCACTGGCTCACCGCCGATCAGGTGGCGCTCGCTTGCTGTGCAAGTCGTTGGATTGGACATTTGGACCACCACAGAGTCTGCAGAGGTAGGATTCCCCGTACGTACTGACTGGATTATTCTTCCGTGGCTAACAGTACATGAACGCGGCGCGCTGCGGCCAGCCGAGCCAACTTGCGGCATCTCGCGTTGGGCAAAGAAATTCGGCCGCCGGGCACCACAATGTGACAATGGTTTGGGTGCGGCAGCACTTTGTTGCTTGCTTTTGGTTCTCTTTCTCTCTGGCTGTTGACTTGAGGCCGAACTCGACCCGAGGTCCGTCCAAACGCAAAACCCCACGGCGTTCGATGTGTTCCATCCGACAAGCTCGTTGCACCTGACCCTTCTTACCACATGGGACATGGCCTCCACCGTAAGAGTCGAGGACAAGGACAAACGACGAGCTTGAATCACTAATATTTCAGCATTGTAAAGCATGATGCCACTGTATGTTTACATTTCTTTTGGAAGTAACAGGACGGGTCCCCACAAAAAAAAAAAAGAAAATAATAGGACGGGCAAACACCTACTGAATGAACAGGGAATTGCTCTGATACTCCTCTTTCTAAAAATAGCACGCATCTCAAAGCAGCCAATATAATTAATTATTTTTTGTTTGGACACTAATTGTTTTAAAAAAACGAAGGCGCCCTAGGACCCGCAAAAATAGCACGCATCTCAAAGCAGCCAATATAATTAATTATTTTTTCCTAATTGTTTTTCCTAGGACCCGCATGGGCCTGGGCCGTTCAGGCTCAACCCGTGTCCATCACTTGACCACCCTAACCCAAAGCCGAACGCGTCGACGGAGACGGGTGCGCCGTCGCTGCATCGCCGCACGTCGTCGGGAGGGAAACAACTCAGGTGCTCGTGCACCAAGCCAGATTTCTTTCCTTCTTCCCGGAGGAGTCGTTGAGTTGGAATACGTACGGGTCCTGGTTAGCCAGCCGCTAGCGGATCGCCTCATTGCGGTCCCTGGACCTAGAGTCCACAAAGCTGCATGTGGTGCCTGCCCGCTCTGTGGCGTCGAGGAGCAGACCATTCCCTCGAGTGAGTCGAGTCCATGGTGCTGCATATGTCGTTTGTCTGCGTATGGGTGCTTATCAATTCATGAGCATGTAGTCGGGCAATGCTGGCACCACCCACCCATGGCTTTGCCCTCTCTCGTCAGCTCCATCTCCATCGTCGGCCACAAGTCGCACGAGGAAAGTAAACGCGGAATCCAAAAAAAAAGGGGGCTAGGAGGAGGGGATAGAGGTGCCGTGGTGTCGTCTGCTCGTTCCGGCAATCGTCGGGCATGGTCGGCATCGTCTCCTTCTAGGGCCCGTTCGGTTACGCCGTTCCCGGTCCTTGCTGAGCAGGAACAGTTCCCGTGCTATAGAAAATACTGAAAAAACGGAAAGGACAGGAATGGGTTTGTATAGCGTAGGAAGCGTTCCCGGTGCGGAACGGCCCGGAAAGGGCCAACCGAGCGGAGCCTTAACGAGTAAACGGAGCGGGCGCTGGAACAGATTCAGAGAAGAAATCCGGCTTGGTTCTTGAGCACCCGAGTCGTTTTCCTCCCGGTAACATACGGCAACACCACGATGGCAAGCACACAGCAACAGCGTGGTCGGGGCTGTGGACGGGCTGGGTTGAACGAACCGGGCCCATCAGAGCCTAAGAGAAAAGTAATTAAGAAAATATTAAGTTACATGGGCTGCTTTAAGATCAATGCTATTATTAGAAAGAGGAGTATTGGAGCAGTTCTCGTATGTATTATTAGAAAAAAATGCGTTCAAACAAAGGAAAAAGGAAGGTAGATTTACACAAAGTAATCTAGCCGGTGGTTTATAACGGGAAATAACTTCTCTTTCACACGAGATGTTTACATTTGAAATGAGAAGTGAATAGGTACATTGTGTTACATATATTACGGTTTTTCAGCTAGGCAAAGATGCACGAAGTTATTGCATTCCTAGAACCAAGCAGTGTCCATCATTATCGAAGCGTTACTAGGGCAATGACAACATATTAGGCCAGTCATAATGGGGTTTTATAAAAATTTTGTTTACATTTAATAAGTTGCCACATATGCATGTTTGATAATATGACAATATTTTTCAAAAGAGAAAAGATGTACCATTGATTTAGTTACCAACCCTAGATGAGCCATAGAATTAAGGGTGCGTTTGAACGTGAGGATCGATTCTATTTCTCACGTGAAACACCAGAATCCGCGCTAAACTTTTTTTGCCGATTCGTTTCTAAGGAGAAATGGCTGGAACGATTGTTCTCCATGTTTCATTGCAGTTTTATATTATTATAAATAATGGTACGAAACTCTCCCCGGAGTTAAACATGCGCAAAAAATAGTAATGTTTTTCTCATTAAAATTATAACCACTGGTTCCTTCACTGCTTTTTTTTTCAAAACAAGGAAAAATAATTATTACTAGTATACTCCGTACTTGTTACAACCGGATATTTATAGGTAGGCCCTCCTGCCGATGACCACGGCCGAAACAGAAGCACTGCACACAAACACATTCGACACGGGGACGCCCGAGCGCACGCGCGAATCGCCGCGGACCTCGCCGGGGGCGGCGACGAGCTTGGATCCCGGCGATCTAGTCGCCGGAGGAGGTCCCGATGGCTCGGCGGTCGTCTTCCTCGTCGTCGGGGGCCTGGCGGTACCTGAACCCGGCGTACTACCTCAAGCGGCCCAAGCGCCTCGCGCTCCTCTTCGTCGTCTTCGTCGCGGCCACCTTCGCCTTCTGGGACCGCCAGTCGCTCGTCAGCGAGTACGAGGTGCGCCCCTCTCTCCCCGCGGGAGCTCCCCTGATCCGGGTTGGAGAGTTTAGTGACCGGGATCTGATTACTTCCTGTCGCGCTCTCTGCTTTGCATTTCGATTTGTCGCCAGGCTGATTTGTAGCTGGATCTGGTTTGTTGACAACATGTGGTTATCCGTGGATCTTACTGCGTCAGTTTATAGTCTATTGTGTTTGTGTAGTGGGGGATTATTATGTTCAGGATTTAACTGTTATTTAAGAATTTTGATTCGGATATTGTAATATGTGACTCAGTCGCTCCTTGCAAACATAGATGCGAATTAATGGTGAAATTGTATATAGTAGAACACTAAAATTCTCTATATTTATTTAACTGTATGTTCGTTTAGCTTCGGCTTTGACTGTAATTGGCGATGAGGTTTGGGTCTCCTTTGATTAGCAGGAAATGTACGGATGTATTAAAATTTTTTATCATGTTCTGTGTCTCCCAAGTTGTATGGTGAAGGTGGCGAGTGTGAACCGTTTCTTTGTATGTTATGGCTTATGGAATTATAAAGGGCGTAGAGAACTGTAGATTCTGAGTTCTGAGTCACTGGGTCACTGCCATTGTGAAGCTTGTATATCTTATTACCTTCGTACCTTCCTTGTTTTTCTTATCTTGATTTATGAGATACATTCATCTTTATTAGTGCTGTAACTTTGATTGTATCGAGTATGGACCTGATTTGCTTCTTTGTTCTGATTGGGAAATGGTGATATGTACACACACAGACCCCTTTGCTTCATTTATATCAAGATAGTCCTTAGTTTATCTTGAATCTGATGTGTATACTTGGAGTTGTCCTGATTGTTTCTGATATTAAGCTTCTTCTTCCCCTATTTTCAGTCTGAGATTTCCCGATTAGAAGATGATATAAATCGGTTGCATGACCAGGTAATACAACCAAACTTTTCTTTGAAGTGCCATGCTGGCTTAGTAACTCCTTTATTCCAGAATCTGTTTCCCTTGAAAAAACTATTCATACTTCAATTGTTCTGATGTCTTTTCAACAGCTAAGAAAGGCTGGAGTTCATCTGGATGAAAATCCAGTAGTAAGCAACAAGAATTCCAGAAAAGATTTTCTAGAAGTTGATCCTGTCAATAATGAAAGGCGGGAAAAAGTTAAAGAGGCAATGCTCCATGCTTGGAATTCTTATGTGAAGTATGCCTGGGGAATGGATGAGCTTCAGGTTTGTTTAGTCAGTAGTAATTCTGATCTGCAGTTGGTTTCACATTTCCTAACTGATTCTAGTTCTAAAATGCCTTTCTGTCTTTTGCTTTGCTCACCTCGATTCCCAGCCACAATCGAAGAATGGTATCAATAGCTTTGGTGGTCTTGGAGCAACCCTTGTTGACTCACTGGATACGCTGTATATAATGGGCCTGAAAGATGAATTTCAGAAAGCTAGAGAGTGAGTTTTATTTGTTTTTTCATCATGTAGACCTTCTTTATTCCCTTGCTCTTTCCTTTGGCTCGTAAAATTGAGTTAGCAGTCTACTTGTAGTAATTTCAGTTCAATAGACTAGAGCCAGTGCCCCCTGTATTTTTATCCTGAATTTAGAAAGCAAGATTATTGGGGCACTTACATGCAAAATTCATGACCGTGTCTCTTTGACCCCTTATTATAGAGGATTATACAATCTCATATTTACTTCACATTTCTTCATTATTCTATCATTTTCATCTGTTCCATATGATAAAATGACATTTATTTTGTATGCTTTTATATTGCTATTTTTGCTTGGTAATACTCCTTGGAATTATTTCAGTGCTTTATTCTGATTTTATGCTGCACACCCAATCTGACTAATGCCTATGCCATAACAGCTGGGTGGCGGAGTCATTAGACTTTGACAAGGATTATGATGCAAGTGTTTTTGAAACGACCATAAGGTTGCATTATAAGGTTTACCTTTATTATAGTATTTTTGTATCTCCTCATCTTAGTTTGTTTCTTGCAGATATTTGGCTGCAAAGGCCAATGTTATCTGGATACACCATCATTATGATCCCTATAGGAAACATAACTACAGCTAGGTTGTCTAATTTTTATTTTATTTTGTTGTTTGTTTATATTCAGGGTTGTTGGAGGTCTGCTTAGTGCATACGATCTATCTGGTGATAAAGTATTTCTTGACAAGGCTAAAGATATTACAGATCGACTATTACCTGCTTGGGATACAACATCTGGCATCCCCTATAATAGAATAAACCTAGCTCATGGACGAGCCCATAATCATGGATGGACCAACGTAAGTCACTGGTATTCTATATTTCAACTGAGTAAACACTTGTATTTAAATCCCTTCCTAAACGTACTGTAGTTCACAAGTAGGTGTACTGATAGTAACCTTATTCAAATCATCCCATGCCATTTTTTTTTCTTTCAAACATTCATTATTCAGTTTGTAATTTGAGGCTTTGATTTCTATCTCATCGCATAGAACTGATAACTGTACCACTTGTAATTGCTAGCTGTTTTAAAAACATTTTTAACCTTATTATTTTCTTTCTAACTCAGAAAATAAAGAATAAATTCCATATGCTTTGTTCCTTCTGCAGGGTGATAGTATCCTTGCAGATTCTGGTACTGAGCAACTTGAATTCATAGCTCTGTCACAGAGGACTGGGGATCCCAAATACCAGCAGAAGGTGCTGCTATTTTTCACTCATATTTTCAGATGTCCCTCCAGTTCTATGCTATTAGATGAGCAAATTTAAAGTGAAACCTCAGTGTGAAACATAGCTGTCATTCTTGTACCATAGTGTTTCCTTTCCACCATACTTGTTTTTGAGTGAGAGAGCTGAGTGTTTTTTGTTGGATGATGAATCCCATTTGATCCAACCAATTTTGGTGATGTCTACCTGTTTTACTCACGTATGTCAAATCAGTATTGAAGGATTAATTTTCTATGTAAGCTGAAACATGCTGAATTATTTTGTTCTGGAAAACCCTGAAGAATGTAGTTTTCACATTCTGATAGTGTTTAAATGAAACATGTGAATCTTGAGCCAAATGCATGGAATTTTTAAAGTAAGTTAGGGTTGGTAGAATGTCTTGTCAATGCCTGGCAATATGCATTAGGCTGCTAGTTTTACTAGTAAAATGCCCTATTCATGTTTGACATTTAAATCCTGTCTTGATGTCTTTCTTGGTTCAGTTGTTTTTAATGTTGGGCTCTTATTTGAGTTGCTACAATCTAATTTTAGGCGGAGAACGTCATCACACAGCTTCAGAAGATATATCCCAGTGATGGTTTGCTTCCTATCTACATAAATCCTCATTCTGGGACAGCATCATACTCAACTATCACATTTGGTGCTATGGGAGATAGGTAATGTCATTGTCTTCTGACCAAATATTTTCTTCCTGTTATTTCGGCACTTAGCTCTGGTAGATTTGTGCTCTCCTATTGGATCATTGCTAAGTTTTGTGCTGTGGACCTTAGTTGCTATTGTCTCCAGAAAATTTCGAAAATAAAACTAACTGTCATTTTCTGTTCAGCTTCTACGAATATTTGCTCAAGGTCTGGGTCCAGGGGAATAAAACTGAGCATGTAAAACACTACAGGTTTGGGACTATTGTCAGCTTGGTTTCACAATGTTAAGTAGCCATTGCAATTTATTCAATTCAACGTGGATAACAATCCCATTCATGTTTTTCAATTCAGACAAATGTGGGAGACATCAATGGAAGGTCTATTAAGTTTAACCAAGAAAACTACACCATCTAATTACTACTACATTTGTGAAAAGAATGGTGGTTCATTGTCTGACAAGGTAATTTATCCCCATTCAGTTGATTGTTCATTGTTGTTGGCAGGCTGCTTGCTGAAGTTTATCCCCCATTCTTCTCTAAAGTTCTGATAAGTTCTGGCTGTGACTAACACAGATGGATGAACTTGCTTGCTTTGCTCCTGGTATGCTGGCATTAGGAGCCTCTGGTTATGGACCAGAAAAATCAGAGCAAATTATGAATCTTGCAAAAGAGGTAAATCCTTGTGGTAATCCTCCTTTTTATGAATATTTCAAGTCTTTGTTTGATACACTTGAGAATTAATACGATTTTCTTTCTGTTTGTTGGTATAACTTTTTTTTCTTTCTTTCCATTCATGTCATAGCTTGCTAGGACCTGCTATAATTTCTACCAAACCACTCCCACGAAGTTGGCTGGAGAAAATTATTTTTTCCATATTGGACAGGTAGTATGGCAACCCTTTATTTTTCCTCTTTCAGTAATAAAAATCTTGTACCAAAGCATCAATTCTGAATGATATTTTCCTACTGACCATAGGACATGAGTGTGGGTACATCATGGAACATCTTGAGACCGGAGACTGTTGAATCACTTATGTACCTGTGGCGCTTGACAGGGAATAAAACATACCAAGATTGGGGGTGGGACATATTCCAGGCATTTGAGAAGAACTCCCGCATAGAATCTGGATATGTGGGACTGAGAGATGTAGGTTTCCTCATGACTTCCATTGTTGAATTTCTGCTGAATAGCATTTTTCTGACACAACTATTGTTGGAACATTTGTCTTCAGGTGAACACTGGTGAAAAAGATAACATGATGCAGAGCTTCTTCCTGGCAGAGACGCTCAAGTACCTCTACCTACTTTTCTCCCCTCCATCAGTCATATCCTTTGACGAGTGGGTTTTCAATACTGAAGCTCACCCATTGAGAATTGTTCCAGTAAATGATAACAAAGGCATTGGAACACCAGTCCGACCATTCGGGAGAAAACAGGGAAAGCCTGAGTAACCTTGGATATAGAGCAGTGGATTTTTGAATCCGCCGTCTGATTCTGACCTCCCTGATGAAGGTGTGTTCTGACACGAGGGAACTTTCTGCCTGAAACAGTAAGGGTTAGAAATCACGGCAATAGATTGTTTAGGGCAAAAATCATAGGTAGAGCATGATGCTATATGCGGGGCAGTGACCTCCGTGGATATGATCGGAGGTCAAGAGCCCCATAGAAGCTTTTATCTTTGGACTTGCTTACGCACCTGAGGTGCGTTGTTGATGTGTAGCATACATCTAACTCACTGTCCATATGTTGTTGCTTTCCTGGGGCCTCTGCAGAGCTGTATTGTCATTATGTGCCCCCAAGTTATTACTTTTTTTCAGATATGATTTATATAAAAAGGTTGTTTGTGGTTTTCCTTCAGTAAGTACTTCGTTCTCCTCTGGAGTCCTTTACTACTTCCAGTGGTTAATACTTGGCGAGCCATTAACATGTTAATTGTGTAAACTCTGCTGTCTGTTCTGGTCTCTTGGAGGCTGAGTTTTGTGAACTTCAGTTCATTTGTAAGTTGGGGTTGGGGATTGGTTATATATATACTGTGTTACAAAAGGGTACGAGCATCCTACGGTCCTACTTGGTGAAAGATGAGTACTGTAAATCAAGGCGTTACCGTGTTCTCTTTTCCGAACTGCAGCATGACAGGGTCCTGGAGCGACTTCAGAGTAGTCGCTCCGACGAGCACGAAGGAATATCAAAAGGCCCATTTGACCTTTACCAACTTTCACCGAGTCTGATTTGCCTCAACCAATAAAAAAACACTGGGTTTTTAACCACCTTCAACATTTGGAACCGTTCGAATTTGCTCCCTGGTTTTAGAAACGGTTTTAGCTAAAGTGGTGCCATGTTAGCCACGAGACAGATAAATCAAACCACGCGGATAGTCTGGGTCATGCAAACTTTATCATAAGATTACAAAAATATTTCCTTTTCAAAAAAATTATCCAAATACTTTTCTAAAAAATATGTTATTTAAAATCCTAAAATCCAATTTAATTTTAGAAGTTTAATTGAAAACTTGCTTTTAGCTCCGATTCATTTTTTTTTCTAAAATCATGCTTTATAGTATGGTGCCAATCTAAGAATATCATACATGGTCTCCTTTTGATGCTTATTTGTTAGTAGATGCTCTCGTTATGTGTTATAATTAGTTTATGTTGACAACCCAGAACAAATAAAAAATTCAAATGACTTCAATGACAACACATGTGTCTGTTACCACCTCATACTCAATCCTATGAACACGTGTCGTTTGTACACGCTTGCAGGCACACCCATTCCCTGTGAGCATAGAACTTGATGTTGATAGTTCACAATATTTGGTTAACTTATTTTTACACCATTCTCTTGTGTGACTGCGTCCATTTTGTGCTAATAGTTCAAATCTCACCTAACAGAATTCATTTGCATGTTTATAAACAAGAAACATAAAATAAAGGATGTTTCTTTTGCGAAAAGGTGATATCCAGTGGTGGGGCATGTTCGAGTCAACAAAGACAAAGGGTTTATTTGGAACTGCCCTGCTCCACGTTTTTAATTAAATAGATGCAGCTCCACAAACTCTGCTTCAGAAAAAAAAAGGTGAAGTTGTGAGAGCACCTAAAGAGATGGTCCAGAAACTCTAGCTTTTCGTGGAGCTACTCCGCGGTGAGTTTGTAGAGCAGTTTCAAACATGCGCTAAATAACTAGCAAATAAACATCAAAATGAGAGTATATAAGAATTAAATAATTCCAAGCTAGGTAATAAGATTGAGCACGATTTTAGAAAAAAAAAATCTATAAATTGATTTTAGAATTTTACTTGTATATTTATTCAGAAATATATTGGTATATTTTAAATATATATATTTTAATAAAAGTCTAATTGATCTTCTTGGACTATAACATAGTCTGATTTATCTGCAGGCTCGGAGCTATATGGCGTCACGTAGAGCGGTTGATGTGAGCATCGTATATATTGGTATAAGACGCCATACATATATTGGTTTATTTAAACCTGTACCTGATCAAAAAAATATTGGTTTAAACCAATTTTAAAATCGTTTAGGTAGCAAATTCGGGCGGTTTCAAATGATAGAGGAATTTTGGAACCGAACTTGGAGGATAATTGGGAGCTCAAATAGACTTTTCCGGTAGGACACGTGATCGACGCGGATGACCAGGCATGAAGCATGTGGTCTGGGCCTTGAATGGGTGCCGGCGGAGGCAGGCCGGAACCTCCTGGTACAGAGCAGGCACAAAGTTCCCGCGGCGTCCAGTCCTTTCGGCCGACCTCTGCCTCAGGCCGGAGGCCCAAGTCGGCTGGCCAGCCCGCGGAACATACTTCCCGCGCGACTCCCACGGAGTCACCGACTGGGCAGCCCGCCCCGACAGCATGCCGCGGTTCTGTCCCGGCCCGGGCGCTCAAAACGAAATGAATCGGAAAAAAAATTCTATGGAGACTGTATGCACTGCCTCGCCGTGCATACATTGCGCCGATGGGTGACGCGTGTATCCACTCACGATCGAACGCGACGCCGAGAGGTCCTCCGCGGGGACAAACGCAGCGCGAGCCGTGCTCCGAGCCGAGCCGTGCCTCCAGTAGCACCAACGACGTCCAGGATAGCAGATTGGAGACACGCGTCACCCATCGGCGCTATGTATACACGGCGACACAGTGCATACCGTCTCCATGCAAAAAAAATTTTCCAAGGAATCAATCACCAACAGTGCCAAAAACGTACACCCGAGGCCATCTCCAGTTGTCCCTCCATGGCAAGGAGTAAGGAGCCCACGTCGACGTACGCGTGTGTGCCTGCCGACGTCTCGTGTGCCGGCCCCGGACCCGACTTGCCGTGCTCGCCGACTCGCGTAGTCCGCCGGCCGCTTCATTACTTTAGCTACGCCACGCACGGACGGTCACGATCTATCCCTCCGCCGACCTCAACGACAAGCAAGCCACCGGATTGGATGTTTGTTAGTTGTGACACCATGCTTGTGTTGTGATGAATGCAGCATATATCATGCATAGTAATCGTCAGTAATCAGACCTTGGTTGGGTCGCTGGGGGTCGGTAGGTTGGAGTTGGACGTTCAATTCCACAGTTCTTCTCCAATATATACGACAACAACCCGATCCCGATCGGTCTCGTCCCCGGTGAGGACTGGTGAGCAATTCACGGTCCCTCTCCGGTCCCTGGGTCTCTGTCCGCCGCTGATTTGCTTCTGGTTCGGCACTCGATCGAGGCTGTCACGGGTCGAGCAAGGGAGGGAAGAATGCACGCCAGCTCACGTACGACGATCTCTCCATGTCCTTATTTTTTTTCCGTCCATGGTAGTATGTTCCTCTGAATCTACCACGGAGAGATATCTTGTTTTCCTTCGCGTTTTCATCTCCCGTCACATTCGGGCTTTAGTTAGGTACAGAAGAAGTTGACGAGTCGCTGTGCGTATGGCAGCAGTAGCATTATCGCTAGAACTCCTAGAAGGATAGGAGAGTGCGAAACAAGCAATATTGCGAAGATCAGGGTCCGGCGAAAACGGCGTGTGCTTGCTGCTTGGTATCATTTCATTGATTAATCGCGGTTGCGATGCTATCTATCATCGTAGAGTAGATGGAAGCTGGGTTCGTTGTGTAGTGGTGCCAACGCCATGGCTTGTCCCTTTATTTGTGCAGAAATTAACTGTACGGTTTCTGTTGACTTCCAGGGCTTCATTCGTCTCTCAAGTTAGGTGCCGTACGTACGTCGTGCGACTTCTGATCGAGAGGCCATCAGCATCGTGCATGCCATCATGAATGTCTCAGTTAAACTGTTTGCTTCAACGGTTCAATGTCCAACAAGCTCTAGTCTCGGCCACACGCGCGCGCACGACAGTAATATGTGCGTACGTGTCACGTGCCGTGCCGCCCGGGGCCACCCGGGCCCTGGGGACCAGCCAGGACCAGCAGGCGCCGTGAACTGATGATGCATGAAGGCGCGGTACCTAGCTGATGGATCAGAAACGAAACGGACCGCCAGACAGGCCAGGCCCCGGCCCGTCCGTCCGTCCGCCTGCGCCAGGCGAAACAGCCGGCCCCCTTGCGCAACGGCAAGATCTGCGTGGGTTTGGCGGTTGGTGGTGGTGCCCGACTGCCCGTGCTGCAGTTGCTGCGGCGCGGCGGTCCCCTCGACTGGACAGGCCGATGCCGCCGATCCGTTCCCCGTCCGCGTCGCCTTGCTGATGCCATGACGCCCGGCGCCCGGACGACGGTTTTCCGCGGTCGTCGGCATCAGCTGCTCACACCACCACCCATCTGGTACCTTTTTTGTTTTCTTTAGCGGCCGGCCACTGTGCGTTGCATTGCACGTATATATTATTAATTTACCACCCGTTTACCTTCGATCACCTCGTCGACCGGCCAGAGCTGCAAGCTAGTATTACGTATCGCTCATTGCTTGTCAGATTCAGTTTGTTGGTTTCAGTGATATATGTTTTTCTTTCCCAACAAACGAATACCAATCGAACTTATCAGCCCAAAAACCAACCATCAAACAAGCTGATTAACGGATGAAGGTGTGCGTATCGCTCGACATTCTCAGTTAATAATCACGATCATAGGTTGGTCCAAATACAAGCTAGCTAAACAGTCAAGACCGCCGGCAGGATTGACGACGTCCATAGATCATACTCCTACTACAGTACTAACGACAGTCCCATGTGTTCAGCGACGGAGCACGGCACAAAATCAAGGGGGGCCAACTTGACAAAAACACAAGTGAAATATGTTGACATCAGAAATAAAACCATATATACTATAATAAATTTAACTAATCACATATCAAGTGACTACAGAGACTGTCAGACTACTCTTAACCAAGTTATGGACTAAAACTAGCTACTTATATATATTTATAGTTGGGTCATATTTCATAAAATACAAGTGACCACAAACTATTAAACAAGTCAAGCCAAATTATGTGTCCAACGTCATAGGACTATGA